GGGGGGGGGGGGGGGGGGGGGGGGGGGGGGGGGGGGGGGGGGGTTGTAATGTTTTGCAGCGCTGACTTCAAGCATACTGGAGAGAATATGCTGTACATCAAACAGTAGGACCATACGGCGATACGATGAACCAACATTACAAAGGAGGCAGGTGGGCCAGGTTCAGCCGTCGGGCGTGGTGCTAACGCTTGTGCTACGTTGTACTTATATACTCCATAGATGAAAACCCGTCGCACCCCGTTTGTTTTCCCCGCCTCGCGTACTTTCGTGTGTAGACGACTGACTGCCGGGCCACGGGTATGAAAGTGAGTGATTTGTTTTTCGTCCCGGATGTTCCACTTCATCTTGGTCGTTCACGCAAGACCTAAGCTACTGCAAGGCATCTTCCCGTGTATGTACTCCGCCACAGCCTGCGGTACATGGGTGTAGTACGCATACGTGAGATGAAAGCTGGCGAGGTGGTCTTCAAGCGAACCACTGGCGAAACAACGTCTTGACAAACTACAAACCGCCGCAACGTGCTACGGCAGCACCAGAAGAAGGAGGAAAACACACTCTCAACACGAAGCCGCAACACATCAGGGAACGCCAGCTACTCACGTCCACCATTGCGAGACGACGTCAACGGGGTGGAGTGCGCCGTCAGCCCACGCTCGTAGGAAACCCAGCCTGTTCTCGCCCGTTGTGGCGTTGGTGATGGCGCTGTACACACCCCACACCTACAGCATTCATCGGTCAAAACAACGAACAGCGCGACACAGCAGTAGTATGAAAATATCACTCAGAACACGGATACCATTCGCATGCCACAAAGGAAAAGCGAAGTCTACGCATACACGCAGGCGATACTTTTTGTTGGTCTTTGTTGTTGCAGAGTGCAAGCCACCACCAGATGTGGCCTCAGCACCTTCTAACATGTTTCGTGCGTACATGTAACGAGCCCAACCTTTGATCAACAACAAGCACGTTGGCAAGGTGGCAGTGGCTAGGAGGAAGAAAAACGTGGCCATGGCCATCGAAGCAAGAATGGGCAAGAGTACACGGGAAAAAGGGCAAAACAAGGAAGCATTCACAAAAACGTCCCCTGCAAAGCGTGAAACGACCATGTGCGCACGCGCGTACAACGTTCCAGGTCCCCCTGGCAGGGAATGCAAACGCAATAGCCAGCGTGTACTGTTCTCTCATCGCGTGCTCTTCATGTTCCCGTCAGGGTCTAGCGGTTCCCCCGCTTCGAGGGCTTGGATCGGGTCCAAAGTGGGAGATCCCCGATCAACTCAGTGCAAACACAGCACTTCTACCATGAACCAAGAGGCGTCATCTTCCACACTCTGCACATCCCGCTCAATGGCATTCGGTCAGCTACTCAGACAGCACCTACCGTGAGAGTTCAACGCAACCTTATGAGCGATCGACATTTTTTCCCCCAAACCATTCTTCTTCACGCAGGCAGTCCACGCCTAGAGTGCAGCATACGCCTAGACTACGTGCCGTGCCGTATGCGCGACTGACTGCAGCAGTTGCAGTTTGCTGTATACCTCTTCCTTGGGGCAGTCCTCCGTCTCGCCCTCCGGGCATTTGAATGCTCGCGCCATGAACATCCGCCGGTTGAGGCTGTCGTGTCGTGCCGTGCCGTGTCGTTACGAGGGTGGCACAAGGCGTCGAAAAGTTGTTCCAGGATACAAACGTCACAGCAACAGAAGTGCTTTCGTCAACGTACAACAACAACTCGCACTACACAACCGTTCGTTGTCAACTAGCCAACGCCAGGTCATCGCCGTTTACCGTTTTCGTTCAAGATGAGGTAGCCGTATGGCGGAAAGGGCACGGCATTAACTGGGATGAAGGGAAACAGAGCGGATGCATGGGCAACTAGTAGAAGCAGTAGATAAAGTGAGACAAGAACACCAGAGCAGGTACAGTAGATGCCATCCAAGTTTAAAAAACACTACGCACGACCACATTAATCGCGAGCGATGTCGACTCATCAGGTATTTAGACACTTTTTATCAGTATTACATGTCGACACTTTGATGGAAGAGACCATCAGAGAAGTAGACCAGGGGATCGTGGAGAGAGTAGCATTCTCCCACAAACTTCGAAGTCGAATACTCTGTAATACACTTACGCCGAAAGCTCCCCTCCGCAGTACTGTTCCGGCTCGAAGCAGGTGTTCAGGAAGAGCGATGGCCCCATTAAAGTTGCCAACGACTCCCTGTCCCCTTCACCGATGTACGTGCCGTCGCAGATTCCGTATGGCTCAGAGACCTGTTTTCAGAGCAGAAATACGGCAGAAGCAACGTCTCCAAAATTAACAAAGGTACACATGAAACAAGGTGTCGCTGTAAAGAAAAGGATTCAAAATTGCCTAGGATACCACGTGAAGTGTCTACAATACCACGTAGAAGTGACTGGTGAACATAGACAGCTACACATCTCCGACAAAAGAGGACGCCCATGAGTCCGGTCAGAGGAATGTTGATGCATGTAAGATGTATCCCACCCGGCGTTGGACGTTGAGAGAACGAAACCGCCAGGACATTTCCTCCCCTACAGATGAACGAGGAGGCGTGTTGCTTCAAGAGACTAACGTCCCGCACAACAATGTCATGTGTGACAACTCTTTGGACCCCCGGCACCATGCGCCACTTGGGGCTGGCCTTATGTGGTGACACGCTTCGCAACAGACACGACCGATGACTCCAACGCCCTGAAACTGCGTGACACGAATCTCACCACCACATCCCAGCAGTTGGAGCCTGTACCGCATTCCATCCCGTGGATCGCACCCAACACACCCGTTCCGTCCCACCAATGATGATCGTATCCACACCATCATGCAGGCCGCGGATGTTTCCACACACATACCGTATGTACCGTCGCATCCACGACGTCGTTCAAGCACGTCGCCAGGACACGTCGAAACGGAAGCAGAGCGGTCGGCACCAGCATCGGCATGGGCAATCAATCGCATCCATCGAGTACGGCACGGACAGGTACCAGCCCAACAAGAGGAGGGGCGGGGGGGAAGGGCAACGTGAAAAATAATGTCGACAACAGCCAGGCCGGCAGGCCAACTAGAGACGGAGGAAAGGGTCCAAAGAAGAGTGGATGGGTGCACGAAACAATCATCGAGTAGAAAGGCAGAAGGTGCAGGGAGTTTCG